GGGGGGGCGAGCTCTTCCTCGCCCGCCGCTGCCCCCGCCCGGATATTTTCCTGTGCATTGCTCGGCATGGATTCGGCCTTCACCTTGGAAGTGGTGGTGGGCTGGGGGGGCGGGGGGGGGGGGGGGGGGGGGGGGGGGGGAGGAGAGCTGCTTCCACGCTGCTTCGCCCGGCTCCAGAGCCCGAAGTGTTGGCGGAGGGGGTGGCAGAGAGCAACCCGCTTGTCATGTCGGGATGCAAACCGGCCGCATTCGAATTAAGACCGTGCGCAGCGCGTCGCCGCCCGCCCTGTCATTTAGGATGCTGCTGCGGCTTTTGCTCATATTCTCCCCTCCACACCCTTCTCCCCGGATCCCCGCCGCCGCCTGCTTTGCGCTCAGACGGCGTTACACGCGTGTCGATCTGCGACCGTCGGAACGCGCCACTCCGCCGCCCCGTCCTTGCAGGAACGGGGTTGCAAATGCAGCTCTCGGCCGGCGCGACGGCTGCCTGGCGAAAACGCGGGGGGGGGGGGCCCACACACGATTTAATTGCTCGATTTCCTGTTAATGAGAAACTAGCTCGAAACTGCTAAAATAGAATAAGGAAGCAATTAGGAGCGTGGCTTTCTAATTGATCTGCGTTTGACATTCCGGAGGGGAAGGACATGGACTCCCCCCCCCCCCCCCCGTAACTCACTTTGTAAGCTTAACAAGACAGAGAAATATATACATTTTTAATGTACGTATATAGGATTCCCATTGTATGTCTCCCGGGAAGCATGCCCCGTTGTATTCAGTGGGGTTTCTCTTCCCATCTACTGGGCCCCCCGGAGTAACTGCTATGCAGGATAGTGGCCTTATGGGGTGGAACTGGTGCTCAGAGCCTGTTCCAGCTAAACCTGAATCCTGCCCCCCCCCCGTCTAAAAACTTTCCTAAACCCACCGCAGAACCCCCCCTCCCCCCCCCCCCCCCCCCCCACCCACCAGCTCCTCTTCCCCGTTCCAAACGGCAAGATCATTACAGGTGGCCATTTCTGGGGGAAAAGATTTGTGGGAATTAAATGGCCAATGGGGATGGGAAGCCTTATTTTTACGGCTCGGCAGACGGCCCTGCCTGCCCGCGCTAGGATGCGTCAGTCCTGGACGTGCCCTCTCTGGCGTGCTTCCAACGTGAGAAACCTGTAGAATTGTATTAGTTCTGGAGAGAACATCCCCCTCCGCCCCCCTCCCTGCCACACCCCCAAAATAGATTTTGGGGAAGGGGAGGAGAGGTTAGGAAGTTAAGGGTGAAGCTGACATCATAAAGTCTTGTCAGTCTGAAACTTAACATCTTTCCGAGTTTTTTGCTGCTGAGAAAAAATTGCATTGCATGGGGACCGAAAACTTGCACTCGATCCCAATACCTGCTGTTAAACTATGTGTATACTTTAAAAACGGGTGGTGGGGGAGTCAGTCCTCAGGCACAAGGCAGAAAGTTCTTGCCCCCCCCCCCCCCCATTCCCCTGTTCATGTTTACACAGCTCTGCTGAGATCAGGGGACTTACTCCCAGGTAAGGATGTGTCGGTGCCCACCTCTTTTGAAGGAATCTGGTGGCTACCAGCCCGGGCACATTTCAGGTAGACCCCCTCCCTCATGCGGTTGATTCTTCTATTTTGGGGTGGGCCCAGGGGCACCCCCCACATGCAGCCTGACCCCTGGGTGTTGCTCCCCAGAAGTGATCATGGTGAATCTTGCATGGGACTCGTGGCCAGGTGCAGCGTAAGCCTTGGTCCAGGCTTCAGCTATTCAACAAGTCAGCCTTGCTGGATTCCATGGGCTTTATTACCAAGGATTTCTGCCTTCATAGCAGCATCTCTTCCCCGCCCTCGCTTAACAGCCTTGACCAACTGTTGGGCTGCTCAGAAGTCTGGGGAACTGAGGAAGGAAGGCTTCCTGGGTGGAAATTGCAGATCCCGTATTTTTATGAATCCTCCCCTTAATAAGACGAGAGCAGGTGAGGCTATTGAAATGGAACTGGAAAATTTCTGAGCATAAGTGAGCCTCTGCAAGGTATAATACAGGGAGCGGGCAGTCTGAGGATTTGTGTTAGTGCCTTGGATGCAGGCTCAAGATGTATTATTTTTTAATTGCCCTCTTTTGCTTTTATTTAGCAGTTTGCGGTGGAGGGGAGGGGTTGGGAGCCATGCGGTGCTTTTTCCAGCCCCATGAAGCAGCCTCAGAGGATCTGCTGGGAAGGTGATTTTGGAGTGAGAAGAGAGTGACTGTCTGGTTTTGTCTGTCTGTCTGTCCATCTCTCTCTCTCTCTCTCTTTTTCTCAAAAATAATCGTGATAAAAAAGGAAGCGGAGGTTCCCCAAGAGGTGATCGAGAGACTGGCTCACAGCGAGATTCACAGCATCCGTGACTTGCAGCGCCTCCTGGAGATTGACTCCGTAGGTAAATTATTCCCATGCTTTTCTATTTTCAACAAATAAAATTGAACTGTACTCATGGCTCTTTAAAAGGGAAAGAAAGATGTTAAAAGGGAGCAGCCCAAAGCCCTGCGGAAGTGTGTGTGTTTGGGGAGACCAAGACCTCTTTCCACAGTCCAGTCTGTGGGGCCCACCAGGGTGGTCTGAATGCCACTCCTCATTCAGTTCTGCTTCTGGGTATGAAGATGCTCTTAACCCCAAAGGCCAGCAAGGAACAGTGTCAGGCAGTTTTGCAGCTGTGAGAATATAATGTTGTCTTTCGAGCAGGGAAGCAGCCTTCATGCCCGTTGAGTTTGCTGTTTGAAGATCTGGCAGTGTGTGTATTTTAAAGCAGCATTCCCCAACCTGGTGGCCTTCAGAAGCAATTGGACCACAACTCCCAGAATTCCCATCTAGCAGGACCATCAGCTGGGAATTCTGGGTGTTGCAACTTAATGTGCCAGGCTGTTCCTGGGATGGAAGAAATTTTCGCTTCTCCTGGCTCTTGAACTTTTATTCCTCTCCCTCCCACAGTGGTCCAATGGAAGTTTTTGGAAAGCTCCCAGAAAGCTTTCCTCTTGCTGCTGGAGCTGCTTTTGAAATGTTGGTAAAATAGCAATGGTGTTTCCTGTAGAATATAATTCTTTATGTGATATGCCATAGCAGGCATTTGACTAATTACATTTCAAGTTAGTCCCTTAGAGTAGTCTTTCACAGACGGTTTCTTATAATTCTTCATGGATTTTAAAATCCTCAGGTCTTTTTGTGCCTCTATCAGAGGCAAACTTGGTGGGATCCTGAGGCCGGGCCTTCTTGGTGGTTGCCCCCTGGCTCTGGATTGCTCTGTGCGGCACCATCTTGATTGTCCTGCTGGCAGGCCAATGCTTACTTCCTCAGGCAGCTTCTTGGCTGTTGAATAATTTTGTTTGCTGACCTAGGTGTGAACTGTGGGTGCTGGTTAATCCTGATTTAATTCGAATAGGTATGTTCTGAAGAACTTGCGCTTTGATTGCTGGCTGTGTGGCATTTTATCTGTTTTAATTTAATTTTTTTGGTGAGGCGCCTTGAGCAGTATTTTTAGATGAAAGGTGCCGTATCAGTAGAAAGAACCAATGAGATAAATAATATCCCTGTTTTTCAGAGTGGAAACTATGTCTGGTAACTAGGGACCCTCAGAGCATTTGGACTGGACTGCTTTAGTGCAGATTCTCGTTTGCATGTTTATCTCCTTGATTTTTCTTAGTGAAAGTCAGGCTTCTGTCCTATGCACCCTTACCCTGGAGTAAGTCCCGTTGAATTGAAGGGGGGTTATTTCTGTGTTGTTGTGTACAGGATCACACTGTTGACATACCTGGTGCCTGCCAGATAAATGGTTTGTTTAGAATCCAAGGATCTGAGTTGAAGTAATACAGAGGTTGCTTCTGCAGGTTTAGATTGCTGGTGTCTCCGTTCACACGTGCAGTTGTGCCCCTGGATGTTACTGTCCTTCAGTGAAAGAACATGTATTTGAGAACAGCTGAATTTTAGATGCACAACCAAACCTTGGAGTGTGTGTGTGTGTGTGTGTGTGTGTGTGTGTGTTTGAGAGAGAGAGAGAGAGAGAGAGAGAGAGAGAGAGAGAGAGAGAGAGTTCTTTAAATATAGAACTGAGATATTTGTGTGCAAAGGCCTTCTAGCTGGCTTCTCTTAGGAGATTATCTGTTTTTCAGAATACAACAGCTTCATAAAATAGACATGGCAGCTTTGATATATTTTCATATTTTAAGCCCTTCAGCCTTCCCAGTAAAGCTACTGAGACATGGATCTTTATAGATGCATGTGACTTTCTATTTCTGTGATCTTCACATTTTTCCAGGATGTAGCCAAGAAGAATTCCCACCGTATTGCCTATAATTTATGCCACTGTGCTGTTATCTTTCAGAGCCACTGCCTCGGGGTCATTTATTAAAAAAAATCCAAGTCATGTTTATGAATGAAGTCATGTCCCTACAAGATGGTGGTTTTTGTTTTGATTTGTTTAAGTGAAAGGGAAAATAAACACCTCCCTTTTGACTTTAACCAGAAAGCCTTCCCCAGTGAACTTCAAAACAATCAGCATTCACAAGTTAAAAAAAATAGCCCAAGGTTATTTTCTGCATCCTTAGGCCTGCAAATGCTTGGAAGGACGAACGTGCAATTTACTAATATTTCTGTATTCCAGCAGACCAAAGCTGTTATTAAATTTGATCTCAGACAGTTGTCAGCACTGAATCCAAGCATATTTATGATGGAGCACTGAGCTGGGAGTGATTGCTTGGTTTATTTTGCAAAAATATGAAGAAAGAAACTCACTTCTTAAAAAAGAAAGAAAGAAATCAAACCAAGGGAAGTCTCTACCCATCTTGCCTCCCTGAGCCAAGAATCTGGCAAGTTGTTGCTTGGGTTGTTAATAGCAGAGCTGCTTCATTTAAACAAAGACTACATAGTAGTTATGTTTTTTCAAAAAAGAAAAGGGAAAGATGACTTGCAGGGGCCCTTTGAAAGTTGAACTTGAGAGCTGAAGCACTCACATAGTTCTCCCTGAAGGAGTACTTGGATTCTGTAGGTCAGCTGCGAAGGAAGTGGATGTGGGTTTGCTGCCCAAAAGCACAATCCACAAGCTTGCTTTTCCCTGTGCAAAGCTTCATTTCCACAGAGCTGCAAAAAGCACAGAAACGGGCAGTCACATGATCAAGTGGTTTTCTGCAGGCAGGGGTAGGGGGAAGCCCCAGAAAATTTAGGGGATCAAACGACTGCTAAGGGAAGCTGTGTCAGAGGTTTGTAAAATTCTGCATGGTGTGACAAAGGTAAATAGAGATATCTGTATGCCTTTTTTCACTAATGATGCTGATGTCGATGTTATGTTCCATTCATATCCCACCCTTTTGACATCATAAGCTTGCGGTGATGTATATGATTTACGCCACTGCTTTATTCTTACACAATAGCCCTGTGAGGTGGGTGAGAATGAAGAATGATTGGTTTGGGGTCAACCAGTGAGTTTCATGACCAAATTTGGGTTCCTCTTGGCCTGGTTTAAATTCCACTCCAGTCTTCTCCAATCTGCTAGACGTCAGATGCTAGACGTCAGCACGTAATCCCTGACCATTGGCGCTCTTAATGATCAGGAAGAAAGCCTCTGACTTCACATCCCTAAGTTATATTTCTTGCATGGTTGCCCAGAGGAAATTCTCCTTCTACATAGGCAACCATGCAGACCTTTTACATGTCTGGATAGATGGAGTGGATTGAAAATACTTTAAAAGGTGTGGATGAACCCTAAACTGCCACCTTTCCAATGGGCTTGAAACATCCCTTCTGCCTTTTGCTGCTACCTTACCTCTCTCTGCTTTCCTTTGTTCCCTTTCGAGCGCTTAACCGTTCCCCTTGAAATGGAAGGATCCTGCAAGCGCCATGCTACAATCGCAGCGAGCGTTCTGCTGGTTCTCTTGCAGAGAGCATCAAGTGGAGCTTGCTCTCCTGATGCGTTTCCCAGCAAAACCGTTGCACAATTTTGGGCTAGCCAGTGGGGGCTGGTGGCTCGTGTCGGTGAGGCAGTGTATCCACTCAGAGCTGTGGTCTGACCTTTAAAGGAGCTGTCCATGGTGCTGAAAGGAACCCAAACAGGGTTCAGGAGGATGGCGGCATCCCCGGCCGCATTTGTTGTGGTTCTTGGCAGGGTGATGAAACCTGCAGCTACTTAGAAAACCCAGCCTCATCTGGGGGGTGGGGGGGACACGAAATTATTCTGGGTCCTGCCCTGTGGTCTTGCTGACGGCTTATGCTGCATCCAAAGGGTTGCCCAGCACTTCCCTTCTCCCCCTCTGCAGTGCTATGTCTGAACATGTTCTTCTGGCTGGGCTGTATCACTCCTCACACCCTGAGCCTGATTTTGTAAGCCTCCACGGAGCGCAGCCGCCGAGCGAAGAGGAAAGCCTCACCCACGGTGGGCACTGCACCCGGCCCCTGTAGGGAGTGTGGTGGCATCCCACTGTGAGCCCCGGCGACTGGGCTGCAGTGACACCCAGACAGGCCCCTCTGGCGTGCCAGTGCTTTGGCTTCCTGATCCCGTGCGCTTCTCGGATGGTCCTCCACGCTGTGATGCCGCCTCAGCAAAGCACCGAAGGGCCAAGTGTTTGGGGCAGGCAGGAGGTGTGCCTTTTGCCGGGAGGATCAATGCGCACGTGTCCTTGCAACGCTCCCGGCCAAAGCGCCACCTTCCAAATTCAGGAGATGCGTGCCGTGTGCTGACAGCTGGGCTGGGACCTTCAGAAGCCTTCTTGAGGTGCCGGGTGGGATTCTGTCATTGGTGGCCAGGATCCAAAGCCCCAAATCCAATGTGACCGGAAGTGTAGCAATCCCCAGAGGGACTCCTGGCTCCTTGTCCCTTTAAACTTCAGATCGCCCCATGGAAGCAGGCAGCCCACTTCGGAAAGGAAAGTCTCCCATTTTGAGACTGCAGTTTGCTGTGTGGCTGTGATAGGGTGGCCTCCTTTAGGGAGGACAGTCCTCTGCTTCAGAGCGCTGGTAGAGGACTGACCTGTACTTAAAAATTGCCCTCTGTCAGATCACTTCTCTGGGGAGAGAACCCCGAGAAGGGAGAACAGTGGCACCTTCCAAGTTGCCCGTCCATGGTCAGTACCTGGACAGGTGACAGAACCACCATGCAGGAAGCCTGGTCAGTCTTCTCTGCTGCAGTGAGATGACCTGGATTTCTATTGAACTAAGAGTTGCTGTTCCTGCATTTGCACCTGTGCACATAAACATGCATTGATGGGTCTTATGACGATGGCTGTCCTGTTGATGGACGAGGCCTTTATTCGTCTCCTTTTGGTGATGAGTCGGTTGACCTGCTGAACGATGCAGGGCGCGCGGTTGAGAAGCGCAAGCCCCACGCTGCCTGGTGCATCCGGCTATGACTGGCCGTCTTGGCCTTCTTCCACGTGGCTTGGGCCCTGAAGTGATGGA